CGCCCTGAGGCACCTCGATTATCAAAGAAAGTTTGTGGGTCGACTTAATGCCAAGGCGGACACGAAAAAGGCGATAAATTAAAAAGTTCTGCACAAAAGTGCCCACCGGGCCCGGATGATAAGGTCAAGGAGCTTCAGAATAATACCACGGTGCCAACAAAAGTCAAAGGCACCCCCTACATCAAAGAACAGCGCGCCAACATATCGTCTTCGCTTAAATCCAACACGTTTAGCAGCACCAAGGGGTAGCAGCACCAAGATATGGTCTGCGGAACTTTGAGGCTTCCTAAAAACACCGAGCATTCGCAACGACACCATGCACTTCTAAAATCCAGGTGGATCGTTCACTTACCATCCTTTCCACCAGTTTACATAATGATTATGTAAAGAGATCAGCAAATAGTAAAGTGGTTCTTCGCCACTTTTCCAAAGCTTTATCACGCGCCCGGGTGGCCGGTTGAATGCCTTTCGTTCTGGCGGGAAAGAGAGGGAGTCAATTTGACCCACCTGAGACCTAAAAAAAAAACTGACAGATAGACATCAAATGCGCAGGGTGGGCTGGTCTGTATATGAACTCACTTGTGTCGAACTTTGTGGTTCCCTGGTCATAACCTTTGGATCAAATAAGGTCGAGCAAAGCCGAGCTTCAGATTGGTGTCCAAAGTGCCCCCAACCTCTCAATGCCACCGGCTTAAGCCTAGATACTCACCTTCTTTAACGCCGACAAGACCAAGGTGACCAAATTCATACGGGATATTTTTGTTTTGTTCATTTGAACATGCGTCAAAGTTTACGTTGAGCAATATGTTCCCAAAAAACAAAATGTTGACGTGGGTCATTTCAGGTTAGCAACCTACTCTGGCATCGAAGAAGTCCACCAAAGACGTTTGTTGCGGTCCGTTTTTAACAAATTTGCAATAAGCACCTGAAATTGCCTCATACAACAGAATACAACAAATGTCGAGTAAAGAAGCAGGTTGGCTTCTAATTCGGTCTGACCTTCACACCCGTCCGTAATGTCTAGAAATTGTCTTCGCTGGCAACCACGGCCCGACTTTCACCCGCCATAGGCCAATGTCATTACCAGGTACATCTAATCCTTATTTCAAAATATTCACCATTCAACTGCCTAAAGGTGTGCAAAGCTTGGCGGGCTACGACAAGCTTTTCGGAATTATTCTTTCATTGTTATGAATAATTATTCTGTAAAAACCTTCGGTTTTAGCGAATGGGGGCATGGGGGTAAAGAAAATATGGCGGTTAAAAATATATTTGGGGTGAAAAAAATGGGGATAGGGTAAAAACCGAAGGCATTTACTCCATCCCTCATGGGGGCGGGGGTAAAAACCGAAGGTTTTGACCCCCATTCTACCGGACGCGTGCTAAAACAGGAATTACCGTAGCCTCTCGCCGCCCTGCAGGAAAGCCACCATCTGTCCGCAGGAAGTTAAAAGTCGCCCGGAGCATCCCCAGTGCGTAAGGTGGCAGTTGATGTAGCACGCCACTCTGCATTTGGCCAGCTCCTCTGAAACACTACGCAGTGCGCTAACGGCTCGCCAACTCCGCCTTTGAAAACAAGTCTGCATGGCGGTTTATCGAAAGTGGAGAAGCTCACTTTGTATGTTTGGCAGCGGGCGCTGCAACGAACAAACAATGGCCTCATGTTCCAGCCCTGACCACGCTCCCATATCGCACGAGCGAATTTTTTGCGACATCCATCGGTGGGGGCGAGATCAGACCGCCAACTCGCAGCGCAAGACAAGGCATTGAACAAAATTGCTCCGAAATACGCTTGACGCGGGTACAAACTTTAAATATTGGTGTGAAATGGTTCAATGTGCTCACCTATTTTCATCACGACTGACTTTCAACTACCTTCACGGTACATCTAGCGAACGCCCATGCCTTCTTAAGAGCTATCAGGTTATCTTTGGTGCCCCTGCGATCGAAAGTTCGAAAAGCCCACTTCCGTTCACAGTAGCGAGCCTTAGGTGTTTGTGAGACCGCAAGCTACCGCTAATATTTGTAGGGGAGGGGAGAGGAGCAATAAGTGGTGGAATATTTCAGTAAATGGGAGCGTTAGGCTTGATTTCGCCGCCAAGGCTAATGTCAAATGTGTGACCCATGGAGCAAGGGGAGAATGCAGGCTGAGAAAAGCTAACAGGACTCCCAACGAGTGGACATGTTGCGCACCCGGTATCCATGGTAACCAGCAGAGCCAGGCCGCGTCGCGTCCCATCCTGTCGCGTTGCGTTGCGCCGCGCCGCATAAAAACACCCATAGTGTGAGGCGGCACTGAAGAGCGACTGGGATGTGCCGATAGTTAAAATATAGACGTGCATCTACAGCCTGGAGCGTAGACTGAGTCGCAACATGTTGAGCTGGACAGCCGGCAAACTCAGCCGTGCGACATGCTTTCAGCCAATGAGTTCGGCACCAGCTCCGTTTCCTGCAGACTTCCTGCCCCCGTTACTATCGTTTCCTCCTACACGGCGGGGTTCACAAATTAGCATGGAGCTTATGACTGCCTAGTGATGAAGGCTCACATAAAGCTATACAGCCCTGTGACAACCAACCCACAACCCACTGCTGTCTAAGCTATACAGTGGAGCTTAACAGCGGCAGCCGCTGGGGCCTGCAGAGCTTGGAGTTATATCCAGTCGGGGCATCCCAACGCTGCTGCAGCTCAGCCCCGGACTGCCGGCCGCTGACTCACCCGCTCCTGCATGTCCTTGGCGTCACTTCTGGCCTTGCTGAGCTTGTGGTCCAGCTGCTTAATCTCCAGCTCGCGGTCGCGGTTATCGCTGATGACTTTCTCCTTCTTCGTGGCCAGCTGCTGGATTTCCTTGTTTTGGGCGTTCATCACGTCCTTTTGCGCCTTGACGGCCGCCTGAGCCTGGGCAAGCGCCGCCTGCCGGGAGAGACTCGCCTGTCACGCCACCTGCCAGAGGAGACTCGCCTACCACGCCACCTGCCCGGAGAGACTCGCCTGTCACGCCACCTGCCCGGAGAGACTCGCCTACCACGCCACCGCCAGAGGAGACTCGCCTACCACGCCACCTGCCCGGAGAGACTCGCCTGTCACGCCACCTGCCCGGAGAGACTCGCCACCACGCCACCTGCCAGAGGAGACTCGCCTACCACGCCACCCCCGGAGAGACTCGCCTGTCACGCCCACCTGCCAGAGGAGACTCGCCTACCACGCCACCTGCCAGAGGAGACTCGCCTACCACGCCACCCCCCGGAGAGACTCGCCTACCACGCCACCCGCCCGGAGAGACTCGCCTACCACGCCACCTGCCCGGAGAGACTCGCCTACCACGCCACCCCGCCCGGAGAGACTCGCCTACCACGCCCCTGCCAGAGGAGACTCGCCTACCACGCCACCCGCCCAGAGAGACTCGCCTACCACGCCACCCGCCCGGAGAGACTCGCCTACCACGCCACCCCGCCCGGAGAGACTCGCCTACCACGCCACCTGCCAGAGGAGACTCGCCTACCACGCCACCTGCCCGGAGAGACTCGCCTACCACGCCACCCGCCCGGAGAGACTCGCCTACCACGCCACCTGCCCGGAGAGACTCGCCTACCACGCCACCCGCCCGGAGAGACTCGCCTACCACGCCACCTGCCCGGAGAGACTCGCCTACCACGCCACCTGCCAGAGGAGACTCGCCTACCACGCCACCTGCCCGGAGAGACTCGCCTACCACGCCACCCGCCCGGAGAGACTCGCCTACCACGCCACCTGCCAGAGGAGACTCGCCTACCACGCCACCTGCCAGAGGAGACTCGCCTACCACGCCACCCGCCCGGAGAGACTCGCCTACCACGCCACCCCGCCCGGAGAGACTCGCCTACCACGCCACCCGCCCGGAGAGACTCGCCTACCACGCCACCTGCCCGGAGAGACTCGCCTATGCAAAATGTTCTCAAAAACCAAATGCTACTGATCTGCACTTATCTTGAAGAAGTCCATCAAAGATAACTCTTGCGGCCCTGCGGATAACCCTGCTATAAATAGATTCAAAATGAGCACCAAAACTACCTCATACAGCAAGGCCTTCAGTGCAAAAACACCCCGGTTCTGACCTTGGTCTGACGTTCAAACCTGACCCTAGGTCAATGGAAATTGTTGTAATCGTATGAACAATTCCCTAGAATTTGTCCTCGCTAACAGCCACACCCCGACTGGGACGTCATAGGTCAGCAACCTTACAAGATGCATCGGCTACGCCGCGCTGTACGAACATAAGTTTGTAAAAATATTTTCGGGTGGAAGGGTCAAGTCCCCCTCCCCCCTCCCCGCCACCCGGACGCGTGCTAAGCGACCGTGGTTTTTCTTATGCGGAAATAGAATTGCACGTTGATGACCACGGACCAGGTAGTTCTTGTTTTAATGACACGCCATTTGATAACAAAGAATGCATTAATCTTGTGGGATCCTTATATATATATATATATATATATATATATATATATATATATATATATATATATATATATATATGTATATATATAAAAGCTCGCGACGAGCTCCACAGCCAACAGCGGTTGCATCGTCACGCAAAAACACACACGTGCAGCGTACACAATGATGGTTGTGGTTAATGGTCACCATGTACACCCTCCAACCGTACGTTCATGTAATGAATGTTTTCGTAATTTCAGGAACCGTCTAGCGCTAAAAAATACGACCCATTAACGGCTGATGGTCTTCTGATACGCCAGATCAAGCGTGACCTGAGATGTGGCGCGCGTGATCACGGAAACATCCCATCCCGCCGGACGGACACGTGGGCAGGGTGCGTGTGTCATGAGCCGTGCGGCCTGAGGCGGCCGGCTGCACGGCCTGAGGGGGTCGGCTGTGCGGCCTGAGGGGGCCGACCGCAAGGCCTGAGGCGGCCGGCTGTACGGCCTCAGGGGTCGGCTGTACGGCCTGCGGCGGCCGGCTGTGCCGCCTGAGGGGGCCGGCCGCGCGGCCTGATGAGCCTGGGGCACTGACCTGTGCAGCCTGCTGCTGCGTCTGAGCCTCGGCCAGTCGCTCGGCGTACTGCGACAGCGCCGTCTCCGCCGCCGCGATCTGCTCCTCAGTCGACTGCACCGAGGTGCCCAGGTCGGCGATCTCCAGGCGCATCTGCTCCTCCTCCTGCATGGCGGACGGGGGTCGTCACGCGCAGCCCGCCGGCGCGGCGCGAGCTCGGCCCGATCGTGAGACACACATCCCACCGCGCAGTCGGCCGCCGCCTACAGCTACCGCCATCACGCCCGCCGCAGCGTTCCAGCAGCGGGCACGCTCACTGGAATATACGACAGGTGTACAAAACAGACCACACAATTGAGTGAACGCCAGTTCTGCTCTTGAGAGAGCAAGGCCCAACCCGGTACCTGCTGCCGATCCTGCCAGGCCTTGCGCGTCTCCTCGGCCCGTGTCTTGCAGGCCTTGACCTCGGCCTCGGCGCTGTTCAGCTCGCGCTCTCGCACAGCCTGCTGATCTCGAATCTGTTCCTCCAGGTGGGCGACGCGCGCTCGCTGCCCCTTCTCGGTCGCCGCACAGCGCGACTGCGTTTCCTCCAGCTCCACTGACGGAGGGGAGAGGCGAGAGGGAAGCGTCACACACCGGCCGGGAGCTGGCGCGTGACGGCGAGACGCGACTGCTCACACTACACACACCGAGACCCTGACAGTGGGGTGCAATGAAGAGCATTTACTCCTACCGTCACAGATCTGCCGGGGGAATAGGGGGCTTAAGAGCACATAGCCCTGTACATGGTCGGGAGGCAGCCGCTGGCAGCCTTCTGCTCCGCACCGGTCGGCCTCCCGGCGTCCCTCCGCCGCCAGCCAGTGGGGACGGCACGGTGCCCAGTTTAACGCCCCAGCCGTCGACCGTGCACGCGCTGGACGGACACCACCGGCGACTGCGCGCCGTCCCCTCCTTCCCCCCCCCCCCCCCCCCCGACCACCAGGCTACTCCAAACCGACTCGTAAGCGACCAGAGAGCGCGAACGACGTAATGCTGAAGACGTTTGCGTTTCCGCGTACCATACGCTCGACCACAGGCTGACCACAGTGCGGGGCAATATAAAGCCGCCCTGTCCCAGAGTTGAGAAGCCACCGCATACATCAGGTTCGGAGCTAATGCCACGACAGAATCGCGTCATTCCACCCATACATATGTCGGCGTCCCACAGTGAAATAAAATGGCAACTTTGGACGAGCTTGTAACCGAGAGCTCGAGACGCAATATGCTGAATGACAGATTTACGGAAACCAATCTGCATACGCGGGTGAGCGTGGTATCGCGGCGACTCCTCGGACAGCGAGAGCCGCGCCTCCCGACCGGCCCTATGCGACTTTCATGAGTGTGGGTCCGCTGCGGCTTCCCGTGTGTGGACGCACAACATGGATGATAACATTTTGGTTCTCTCTGGTTGATAATTGATATCTGCGGGCGCTTCGAAAATTCGGACACACAGTGCCCACTCCTGTTCAATTCCGGCGACTGCTGAAAGCTGGTGCGACGGACAGCTGGGACAGCACGATTGCTGCATTTGAAAAAAGTATCTGCCTCAGATGTTATCTCCCCGGTGCGCATGAATGGCTGCGTTTAAATAACTTATGTCTCTTACCTGCCCTTATCCGTGTCACAAGCATGCACCTGGCTCCTGGTAGGAAATGTCACTGGGTGTATATGCGAGCCCGCATAAACCAATGGCCATGTCCCAGTAGCGCGACGAAATTGCGTGGCCACAACAGCCTCAGCTCTCTGCTGCAACAATCATGAAGCGAGCAAATGAAGCGTATCTACCCCAGCAGGAGTACCAGCTGCCCGGAGAAGCCCGCGCCGCGCGGGGACGGGGAGCGCGACCCCCGAGCAGCACTGACCGATCAGCTGCTCCAGGCGCTGCACCTCCTGCTGCAGCTGGCAGTGGGTGGTCTGCTGCAGCCGCTCCCGCACCAGCTGCAGCTCGTGCCGCTTCAGCTCCAGCTGCTGCTTCAGCTGCGCGTACCTGCCGACGCGGCTCGGACTCAGGTGCGCGTCTGCAGAGGGCGCGCGCGGCGCCAGCCACGCTATAAGACAGCCGCGGTCACAAACACGCCGACGGACGCCCGGGACAGCGCCGGGAGTGGGATTGGAGGACGGGACGGGAGGACTGGATTGGAGGATTGGAGGAGGGGGATTGGGGAATGGGGTCGGGGTAGACCGCCGCGCTCTGGTGAGCAGGTCCCGCCTCATCTGGATATCACTGGGCCCTGGCCTGGGATGGCCTCAGCCAGCTAGCATTCTTCTCGGTAATTGGTACAGTGCAGTACTTGGCTCTGTCCCATCGTACCTAACAGGGCCCACAAAACACCGCAAGATCGTCACGCTTGGACACGGCTATCGAGCATGAGCATTTCGTATTGAAAGTCAAAGCCTCTCCTGTCGCGCTAAAAGAACGTCCTCCCCATCTTATGGCAATCAGAACTTTGCATGCCCTGTCTTCCTACAAATGAAGAAGGGCGCGACGCGACCCATGACGTCGCCGCCACTCCTAAAAGCCCTGCTCCAGCCGGGATTCGAGCACAAGAGACGAAGTGGTCACATCATCTACCGAGCCCAAACAGGCTGACATCCCTTACTAACAGTGCCCCCGCCCACCGAGCTTCGTGGGATTCACGCCACATTTAAGTCATCGCAAGGTAACTGGCAACGTTTGAACAGTTCAACATCCACTGACCCTCATGTCGAGGAGGCAACGCCCTTATAATCTCAGCAGCGTCGAACACGTCAGACTGCTTACATCGGCTGGTGAAGACTACTGGCCGAAAGAAAAACACAGCGAAAAGAGAAACAGTGAGTCTACCGTTACATCGTAACTAAATTAATAGATTCACTTTCAGGAAAAAAATCGGGCGCGCGAGGGGTCGGTGGATATAATGCATAATACAAAGAACCGTTTAAAAGAGCGTGGAGCGCTGAACTCTGTCACGCAGACTCAAGCGGACTCAATCAACAATCACGCGGACTCAAACAGACTCAACCCACAATGCACCAGAACCTCTCCCACCAACATTCAATACGTACTCACAGGCACATAGCAACAACCAAAACCTCGCCCATGGGAGCCATATCATATGGCACAAACTTGCGCATCCAGGTTTTTGAAATCAGTGTTGCTGCTCCGTTCATGTGCTAAGGGCAGCTGCCTGGCCCGTTACGGCGGCCAGCCCGGACCAGACCGCTGCCCTCCGATAAACAAAACAGGCGGATCGTCGCTGGGGTAGCACCGGTCACACTGTGTGTGATTGGGGCTTTTACGACGCACTCAGCTGCTGAGGCTATATGCCGTCGCCTGCCTCTCACCCTGGCAGGAAGGGCGGGCACCGCGGGGAATCGAACCCCGTACCTCTGGACCGGTCACACTCACACGTGTCTGACCGCTGGGGCAGCACCGATCACACTCACACGCGTCTGACCGCTGGGGTAGCACCGGTCACACTCACATGCGTCTGACCGCTGGCAGGGCAGGCGATAAGTACTGCTCACCTGGTTAGCCCACCAACAACACCTTGGTCATCACACTCCAGGCCCTCCCCGCCACCGGCCGATCGGTGCCGCGCGCCCTGCTGTTCCACAGAGGTATCTACTATTCAGGGCGCGCAGGCGCAGCTCACCATGTGTCGCGATTCTGCTCCCCGGTTACACTTACCTGGGGCTGGGGGTACACCAGAACCCAGGCAGGGCACGGTACAACCCAGATAATACACCTCACCACAACAACCAATTCATTTTCATAGCGAATACATATTGAGCATTTTATTGCAGATTGTTGCAAAAGCCAATTTGCCTATCACTGGGCACCTCTCTGCGAGGGTAGTTTTCACACAAAGTTCGTCTGACCGCCACCGCGGACGCAGTACTTCCAGGTAGCACCTGAACACCTCAGACCAGCACGTGTCGCCTGGCCGGCCTCCGTCCGACGGCTTCTCACCTGTCGCCGTTCTCAGTCAGCGACGACAGCTCCGCCTCGACCTCGGCCAGCCGCTGCTCCAGCTGGCGCAGCCGCTGCTGGCAGCCGGACAGCGCGTGCAGCTCGGCTAGCACCGAGGAGCGCGCCTGGCGCGAGCCGCCCGTCAGGGTGCCGGCCGGGTCCACCACGTCACCGTCCAGCGTCACAGCGCGGCGCTGCACGCGCGGGTCGAACGCCACCTGTCGGCGCCCGGACCACGTCAGAGGTCACGGGTCACGGGTCACGCCAGAGGTCATCGGTCGCGTCAGAGATCACGAGCCACGTCAGAGGTCACGGGCCACGTCAGAGGTCAGAAGTCAGAGGTCACGCGTCACGTCAGGGGTCACGGGTCACGTCAGAGGTCACGACGGGACACGCTTGCGGTGGGCATTAACAGTGCAAACAACGGTGCACTGTTAATGCCTAACGAAAGGAACGGAACAGGGCGGGGAAAACGGTCCACAGCGCCGATACGGGTTGCCAATGTGCGCGTTTCAGTGATCATAGTGGCCATGAGGCAGGTGGCGGCCTTGCCGATGGGGCGGCGTGTGGCCGCGTCTCACCCTCTTGGCCACGTCCAGGTCGCTGCAGATGAGCGTGTTGCCAAACACCCACTCCATGGCCTTCTGCAGGCGCGGCTCGTGCTGGATGCAGGAGAGCGCCGTCCGCACGTTCTCCTTGCCCACCTACCGGCGCGCCGGGCGGCCCGGTCAGAGGTTAGGCCCGACCTGACTCTCCTGCCGTTCGGTACAACATCGCACACCATCTTGCGTCGGAGGACAGCTGAGTGGACCGCCGGCACTGCGGCACTACCGTAACGCGCCGGCCCCGGGCCGACGGGACCATCTCTGAGAGCCGGTGCCGGGCGCGCCGAGCGTCGCCGACCGGGTTACAGCCGCTGTCGTGCGACGACGGCCCACCGGGCTCGCTGGGGGTGCCAGCGGCCGCGGCCCCGCCCGACACCGGCGCCGCAGCCGCGGGGGGCTCGGCGGGACGGAGGCCTTGGAAGACAGACCGGACCACCGCATGCGGACCACGCCGGCGAAGCTCTCGAAGATACGACAGTGGCAATGTGTCAAACAACCTGACCCCGACAAATGCGCCCAATCAGCAGGCGTTTATCACCGTTCGCCACAGTCGACCCTGGCCTCCATACTCTCAAGTACTGAACCATCAGGCACTGAACATGTTACCATGGTACTGAGCCACGGGCTGCCTCCCAGCAGCCATACTGCCAGCGCGCGTCGCCACCAGCCACTGACCACTTTCTCAGCGTGTCGGATAGTCTGCATGTCGATGCTGGAGCTGGAGATCTTGTTGAGCGGGATAAACGTGACGCGCTTCTGCAGCTGTCCCCTTTCCAGCAGCTTTTTGCCCACCACCTCCGTGTCCACCACCACGTTGTACAACTGAGGCAATGACGACACCAATATCAGGTGACTTGCGATGTCGCGCCGACATGCACGTGATGTGAGACAACCACATACTCCTGGCATTTTACACTCTAGCGAATTGTACAAAGTGTAGTGTTATCATTAACTGACAGCGTCGACTGTGACACACTGTGCACTAAACCAGGCCAATGGACATTCGGTAGCCCGTTTCCAGTCCACGAAAGCACTTAACGTCACCACGCTTACACTTCACGTAACTCTGTGCGCAAGACGACATATTCGACTCGTTGACAGCGATCTCGCATCCTGACTGCACCCACCAATACTGCGTGTCAACAGCAGCAGCGGCTCCGGCGAGCTGACTTACCCGGCCGCCGGCGGTCACCTCCAGGGCGGTGGCCGTGGCGACGTCCTTCATGTTGAAAAGCTTTCCCACCACGCCGCGAACGGTGCTGCGGTCGAAGCCCTTCTCCGGGTCCCGGTAGTCGAGCACCAGCTGGGGGTACCTGCAGCCGCCGGCCGGCGTCGGCGTCAGAGCCCGTGCCGCTGCGGAGGGCGCCGGGCGGCGGCGTGGCGGCACCCGGGTGGGCCGCACGCTCCGCACATGTAGACGCGACAGAACGACCGGTCCACGCGCGTGACTCCAAGGTCAGAGAAGTGACGCAAAACAAGACCCGAGACGAACTTTGTGCGGTCTAGTATAGGTCTGCAGGTCTGGAGGGGTCTAACAACACGGCCTGGACAGCAGTGTCCTGCGGACGCCCGGTCGTCTCCTAACGGCTGAGCACGACAGGCTGGGGACCAGTTACCGTGACTCCAGCACGTCCAGCTTCTCCTTCAGCCGGCTGAGCTCCTGCTTCAGCTCGCGACGCTCCGCCTCCAGCACGTCCACCCTGGTCTCGTCGTACCGCAGCTGGCCCATTGACTTCTAAAAACAGGCCACGTCGTCTGCTCAGTATCGAACGACCAACCGCGAGGGAAAGACGAGCAAATGCAAACGAAGTTCAGTTGTCGTTTGCGCAGACTTCGCAGAGTAGCTAGCAGCGATGGTAACTGTCCGCCTGCTAGTGATTACCACGTGTAACTGCGTTCTCACAAGACTACGTGTACGTGAGTAGCCTCTCAGGCTCTTGTGACAGCGCAACATCTATTTGTTCCATTTCAGCTCAAAACTATGCGTGTGCACCGGATGGCTTTACACCAGCACAAACCGTCACCGTGTAATGCGCCAACAAGCCAGCCGTTGTACTCGGACAAGCCATGGATCAAAATGCCAGCGAACAATCGACATTTTGCAAGCACACCACTATTGAAAAGACACCAGGCACATACAGCCACCCTCGCCACCTATAAAAGCTACCCCGACCTTACGAGCCGAGACGGCTCGTTTCAAAACGCCTGTGGCCCCACGAATCCCAAGGAAGCTCTACCAGCACCAATCCGGTGGCCACTGTCGCCAGCCTACTCATGTCTCCCGTGCTCTGGTGTGCAGCCGGTGTGCTGCAGAGCCGCCTGGCTGACCTCGAGGCGGGCCGCGTCGGCCTCCATCGTCTGCAGCTGGCTCGAGTCGCGTCGGTACTCGCTCTCCGTCTTCTTCATCTCGGAGCGCCGCTTGGCCAGCTCCTGCTTGGTGTGCTTCAGCTTCATGTCCGCCTGCTTGCGCTCCGTCTCCGAGTCCGCGATGGCCGACTTGGCATCTGCCGTCGGCCCGAACAGCAGGCGTTAGTGCGACACCGGGCTATGCTCGATGGCCTGCAGTATCTCTGAGCAAGGCTTCTCCGCAGACCTGTGGCCATGCCCTAGTCCGGGTAATGCGCCTAAATCGCTGAGTGCACCCGCACAGAAGCCAGGTGACGTCAGAAGGCAGGACGGACCGCGCCAAGCGTTGTGACACGGTGAACTTTGTTCGACAAATTGTGAGGTTGAGCTGGAGTTGCACGACCGGATGGCAGGGGTCGAGGCTCGCCCAAAAACCATTGATGGGCGTCAGCTCTGACCCCAGACATGAATTTATTCCAAGGGCTGGGATACCTTTAAGTGAAAAATGAAAAATATGAGCAAGCATTACGCAAACAAGCCCTTACCACCTCAAGCGCTAATAAGATCGACAGTGCGGCATTGCCTGCGAGCTGATGTATTTGGGCGCGGTGCGGCGCCGCACTCACTCATGAGCTGCTGAGCGAGCGTGGCGTCCTGGCCGTCGTCGCCGCTGAACATGCCCGAGCTAATGGCCTGGAAGCGTTTCTGGGCGGCGGCGAGCGCGGCCGCCTGCTCGGCGTCGGCCTCACGCAGCGCGTCGAACACGGCGCGCAGTCGGCTCATCTCCTGCTGCCTCTGCTCCAGCGCCGCGCGGTCCTGTCGGCCCGTCACACGGCTCACACCGGGCTCAGACACCGCCCTGTCGGCCCGTCACACGGCCCACACGGGGCTCAGAGACCGCCCTGTCGGCCCGTCACACAGCTCACACCGGACTCAGACACCGCCCTGTCGGCCCGTCACACGGCCCACACGGGGCTCAGACACCGCCCTGTCGGCCGGTCACACGGCTCACACGGGGCTCAGACACCGCCCTGCCGGCCCGTCACACGGCCCACACGGGGCTCAGACACCGCCCTGTCGGCCCGTCAGCATTGCATTGACCAGCATTGTATATGCGTCAACCAAGTCAGTCCGGTGTAAGGAGCACAGAAAGACCTCATCACGATGTAGGTCGTGGCGACTTACATCCGCCAAACTTTTCTGCAGTTGTTTCTTCTTCTTCTCCTCGGCTTTCACTGAATCCTTGACACCCTTCACGGCAGCAATAGCTTTCGCCTCGACTTTGGTATCCTCCTCTAGCTTCTCCTCCAATGAGACGAGAGTACCACCAGTTTCCTGGACAAGGGAAACATCAGAAGTTCGCATCATTCCCGTCAGCACACAGGGTGGGCCAAACATTTCAAGTCCGCATCATTCTGTTAACTACGAATTGCCGGAGTGATGAAGCATTCCGCACATTAATCCAGCAGTTCTTGCTCTACTGTACGGCAGGCTCGCCGTCTTTGAACATTTTGTTGGGAATCACGCTCCATGGGTCTTACCTGGTGTATTACGGATTCATTTGAATACTGCCTCAGATTTTGAATGCATCCCGAGAATTAACTTCCATTGCCAATAGTTTACCATTTTTGACATATTTTGGAGTGTATTGACGACTGAGGCCTAACCAGAGCAGGACATCATAATAAACTTTTTTTCGGAAATGGCGGCTTCTTACGATTCTTTATTTCCGTTAAGCCCCAATGACGGCGGAAGAACTATTATATCGACATCTCATATCCTTGAGTTGTCCATTGCATTGATAAGCCCTAACTGTACGGGTTTCCAAAGGTGTCGCGTCCCAATCGCTAACGTTTCGTTACAATTTGCACGGTACCAACAATCTACTCTCTTGCTCCACGTCAGAGGACATGTCTTACTGCTCTAAAAATCACGCGTTCACTGTCGGCGAGTTCTAATCCGGTTCCTGACAGTCGGAAAGCGCGGACTGACCGTGTCTCGCTGGTGCTGTAGCTTGCCGATGTCCTCCTCGTACCGCCCGATGTCCTGCTGGCCCTGCTCGATCTGGCCCCGCACCTGCTCGATGGAGTGCTGCACCTCCTGCTCGTCCGATACGGCCTTCTTGCACGACTCCTAGGAGAGGGGGCACACAGGCTTTCCGACTGCGCCAACCACCGACCAGCCGTTTCGACTGGACGCATGTCCGTGTGGTGGTCAGGACCTCGGGATCGTCAGGGAGCAAGATGGCGTGACGACAATGAATGGAAAACGGCCAAGAACCACTAATTCCTCTCCTTGACAGCCTGCATAAGATCGATGCATAGGTAAATACACACAGTGAATAACCGTCAGCATCTGTCAGCATCTGCCAGCTGCGACATCAGTATTAGTGACGGACGACATCCGCCATATCGAGCATACAACCCAAGGAGGGTGACGACTGCATCCCAGAAAACACGTCTCGTCACGCAAGCCGCACATTTCGAAAAGCATGCGTTTAATCTAATTCGTTTGCGATCATGGCGTTTTTTACACAGTCAGTCGCCGGTTACACGAGATGACTGGCTGTGCTTACCTGCGTGGTGACAAACTTGAATGCAATGCAAAATTTGCTCAGATGTTCGTATTCTCGCTCCACCTTTTGATATTCCAAATACGTGGAACGCTCTTCTTTCAACTTATTCATTGTTGGGTTGATTTCTTCATCCAAGATCTGTAACAATTTGCTGTAATAATGTTCGGAAGGGAACACTGCGATAATTTTCGGAAGAGAATGCCATTATTTCGCTCCTCGCCTCCCGCACGGCCAGGCATAACCGAGGAGACCTCTCCCCGTCCTGACCGTGGTTCAGCGCCGCCGCCCCTTGACCCCTTAAGCCGCTGCGCACGGCCAGGCGGCCCAAGCGGAAACTCGCGCAGAGCACGCAGCCGCAGCGCGAGCGACAAACCGCTAGACCCGTGTGGGGTCTCCCGTCCCTCCCCCCCACCCCCCCTTCAGGGCCCCCGCATATCCTGGCCAAAGTGAAGTCTCGGGACGCGCCGTGACTGACCCGCACGACGCGTCTCTCGGCCACCAGGGTCCGATCAACACGAGGACGTGGGTGAGGGGGCACGGCGACCCCGATAAAACGGGGATTGGGAGTGATGAGTGGGTCGAATGCGGGAAAGCGGGTATGAGAAGAAAGCGGGCGGGATAAGGAGCGGGAGCTCACGCACCGGCAGCGTCGCTACGCCCTGAGAGGAGCAGCTTGCTCTGTCCACCCATTACCGGAGCTGGGACCCGAGAGACCACGTGACTTCGCGATCAGCTCGCTGAATGACCGCGTCTGGCATATAGCGCTCCCCGCATACCGAAACAAAGTCAACATGCATAATGAAGCATGGCGAGAAATGACGGAAATGACTGAAGTGTGAGCTTTTATCGTGACCGTAGTATTCAAATGAATGGTAGCATGGCACGAACGTCATTGATTTCTTTGAGCTTGGCATCCTTCTTCTCTATAGTCTTCTGGGCCACCTGCTTCTTGGATTCATACAGCCTTGTTCCCGCTGCTTCTTCTATCATTGACAAAATCTGGAGCGAAACAAATCACAGTTGTTTACATGTTTCTTACGATCAACATCGTAAATAACACTCAGCTATTTAATGACATCTCTGTGAAGTAAGGGCAAGGCATACGCAAAAATACAAAGTAGTATTTGCCCAGAGAGCAAGAAGCAAAACATAAAAATTACATCCTTCTTGAGCACGTGAAATAAAATACAGCCGATGTATCTATGAATCAGCGGAAGTAGACAAATAAATGCAAATATTATAAGTTTTTATAAATGTTTCCATACGGCGAATACAAACTGAGCAAAACACCACATCATGCGCTCGTAATAACCCATGCATCACAAGTTCAGGGTACCTGATTTCGAAAAACACTGAATAAGTGGAAGGGCGGACCACATGGGGTCCATGGCTCACAGAGAAAACCGCCGATTATTTGGTCCGAACTCTTTAACTGGTTCCCCACGCATGTCATGCTTTCGGGACCAGTCACAAAAACAAACGCTGTCTTGAACACCCACGTGACCGCTTAGATGGCCAATGGTGTGTGCCGGGGACCACAGCCCTCTCACCTCTGGCGGCTTCATGTTAAGGACCTTGGTAATGCGGCCCTGCATGATGAGGAAGTGAGGGTTGTTGACGTTCAGCTTGACCGAGCGGAACAGGTCCTGCACCCGGTTGTTCTGCACGTTCACGCCGTTGATGGCGTACTTGTTCCTGCCACCGACCACCACCTGTTCCGCCATGGCCAGGGAGGGCGTAACAGTAGGGGGCAGATGCCAAACACGACAAACCAGCCATTCCTTGTCTGGCAGCAGCCAGCGACCGACGGTACACTGCATTCGATTCACAACAGAAGGGAGCGACCCCCGCCACCGGACAGTCATCCGCGTCGAGATTCTCCCGACATATTGAGACAAATGACCATGTGCGTAAGCGGAGTGCAGAACAGCATCAGAACTGCCGTGCATAACACCGTCCCTACGGTGTAACACCGTCCTCGTAACGCCGTCCCTCCCGGTGCACAACCTGTCGGGTGATGGTGATCTCGTCGTATTGCTCATAGCCGAGCGGGCTCTCGGCCTTGTCGCTGTTGTCGAACGTGATGGACACAGTGGCCTTGGTGACGCCCGCCTGGCCGTTCTTGTACACCAGCTCCTGCAGGTTCGTCGCCCGCACCTGCAGCGGGCGTCGATCGCACGCACAGGTCAGCACACACCGCACACCCTGACCCGAGCGCAGCTACAGTGATGGCGATCTCTGATGCAGTGCATCTGTGCTCTTGCGTTTAACCGTTCGCTGGATAGGCTGAAGGTTGCGCGGTCGAATTCTATGCGTTAAATTATCCACCGGAAGTCATATTTCAGCGAAACATACGCCTTGACAGCACGTAATTTGGCACCCGGGTTGTTAATCTGTACCGGAGCACACACCGTAGCAGTGTAACTCACACAAACTTGTCGCTAAACGAACAACGTATACAGGCTTTGTACAAGTACGCATGTCAAACGAACGCTGCCCGTTGCCGATATTTGTGTATATGGAACGGCTTAGGAAAAATTACGTACGTACTTGATACATCCGAACTCTTCCATACCAACTTCCACACTAACTTTAGTCAATACGAATATGTTGCACACATACTTAATGTCCATGGACATTTGAGTTGAGATGAGTTATTGAGTTTGGAGGGCGCGTCAACCAATGATATTTGCTTATAAAATTCTCGTAAGAGTTCTCCCGTTCTTCTGCTGTACAAACAATACCTTTGCAGAGTTCATCCTCGAATAACTGCTTACATACATCATGGACATGCACTTTTTCGTTATGAACTTCTGCCCTAAACCCGGTCGGTTGACAGCACTGCGGCCCTCTTAAGGAGCTTTATCGTGACATCAGTCGAGGCCTCTAACGTCATCACGGGCACCTATCCAGGTCACCTCGAATGGCTGGCAATTAAGCCCTGTAACGAAATCGCTTTACCCAGTATAATTTGATCGTTTGCAGAATTCGCGCCAGCGCTGCTGGCGATTTACTTTAGGTTCAATGTCATCAATATGAATTACCACCGTGCAGAAACCAGAGCCATGGTTAAAACCGGACGACGGACATAACGGAACACTTGCCCTGAAAAGTACGCCATGCGCACATGATCGCACACCCCTCATGGGGTGTCAGCGACTATGGTGATTACGATAGCGCCCAGTAGCCATGCCTCAACTGGGATTTGCCCATCCGCAGTGAGCTGCAGACCGCGAGGCTAACCATTCGGCCATGACAACGCATTTGACAGTGGCAATCGAGCATAGCCACATGCTCACACCAGAGTCAACATTAAATTGGCAGTCACTGAGACATTTTCCCCACCCACTTCCTGCCCCAAACTATTGCCTGACTATGAAGACTTAAACAACACGTGGAGGTCCCAATGCTTTTCAAAAGGAGAAGCAATTGTTGTTCGCAGGGTGGTCAATGAAAACATCCCATACCCCACCAAGCAAATGTCTCATGATTGAGGCTTTTGTTTTGTCTCACCATCTGTCAGGGTTGTTTCAAGACAGATGTCCTCATTAGGCACAATGTGGGAAGCAGTGGTGCCGTAGCGGGAGCTCGTACCCCAGACAGACAGGGTCTAGAACTGAGTGTCCTACCTACTTTACCCCAACCAACCCCAACTGAAATCTTCTGCATCTGAGGAAATGGATAAAAAATTCGATTTAGCAACTGTGGGTTGACCTGTAACTTGTAAAACAAAAAACACATGCTGCATCATGTGATTCTTCTAAGGTCAGGAAACAGAGCTTACTTTTGGATGCACCTTATATATATATATATATATATATATATATATATATATATATATATGGTATGTATGTGGTTGTTTAATATGTGGTTTAGATAACAAAGTTAAGCATAGCTGGTAAGCATACATTTGAATAAAAACACACACCTCACCCTTGCTCATCTAACTCTCTCTTGCTCTAGCTATCTCTCACTCTCCTCTCAATCAAGACAAAAACAAAACTGGTCCACATATCAATAGTTGCCACTGTAAAAAGCCCGACCACATGAAAACTGCACAACAAAACTGCACACTTCAAAATATGTAAAAAGTGCAAAAAGTATCACATTAAGGGACACACCATTCACAAACATTCACATTCAGTTGCAAGAAATCTTTCTGTACACTACTTACATGGCTGAGGTTTGTGATGCCCAAGACAAAGCAAATGCCATCCAGTATATTGGATTTGCCACTGCCATTCAGTCCGGTAATTGCATTAAATGATGGATCAAAGCCAGTAATTTCAGTTCTTTGACCATATGACTTGAATCCATCAATCAGCATGGATGTGACATACATTGTTCAGGTCTGAAAATGGTGAAGCAGAGGTTAGTAGTGCAGGCAAGTAGTGAACAAATGCAGCAATCAATATTCACATCATTATTTTGTCATATTACTGAAAAATTGAGACACATCAAGGGTTACCAATATTTGCTCAAGTTAAGTTAACTAACCATCCAGATCATGCATGAGACAGGCTCTTAAGCATCAAAACATGTTAAGTACACATTTCAGACCCACATGACAAACCTTCACATAACTAAAGCACTGTCCAGTTTGAGTGATGAGACAAAACTAATGCAGAATAATCAGGAAATGAAATGGCGTACGTTAGACCACCGAAAACAACAAATCAGCATGAATAATGCCACCTAGACCTTTGCTGCAGATGAAAGCAGCCACACAACCAATAAGAATATCAGCAGTAGAGAAAACGGATTGCAGAATGTTCAAAATGGGGTATTTTTTGCTCCACAAATTCCCTAGTGCAATGCCGTCAAGAATGTAAGTAAGAGATGCAATTCAGGAGAACACATTCCCCTATCTTCACATCTTGTTCCAGCAAAATTCAAAGCATACACACCATACATCTGAGTGCTCAGGTGCAGCTTGAGTGGTAAGACAAAACTAATGCAGATTGATCAGGAAATGAAATGGCATACATTAGACCACAGAAAACAACAAAGCAGCATGACTAATACCACCCAGACCTTTGTTGCAGATGAAAGCAGCCACACAACCAATAACAATATCAGCAGGAGAGAAAATGGATTCCAGAATGTTCAAAATGGGGCATTTTTTGCTAAACAAATTCCCTAGCACAATGCTGTCAAGAATGTAAGTATGAAATGCAATTCAGAACACATCCCCAATCTTCACATCTTGTTCTGGAAAAATTCAAAGCATGCACACCATACATCTGAGTCCTCAAGTGCTCAGCACACAGTCACATCTGATTCTAGATCATGAAGGTGCAATTTTTCAGGGAATTATGGTTTGTAGAGGTCAGTTCCTGCACAATACTTCTGACATACTTTTCCCCATCAAAATGTATTTGAAAATTTTCAATGATCTGGTCTGGCCTAAATCATGCACACTTGCACTCCAGATCCAGCAAGACGATGTCGAGTGATTTCTCAGTGACATCACCAATGGTATAACAGCGTAACCTCTAACTCAAATCCTCCACCTCACCACCACTTACCTTTTTACCACCGGCTCATCAATTACTTTTCTCGAAATATACTTAGAAGGGAAGTGAGCACCTATCTCGGTATGAGCCACGCATGCTCCCCTTATTCAGCAGTCGGTCCCGTAGCAAAATAAAGACGATTATTCCAATATCCGACGAATCCCGCCTCCCGCGTTTACTTCTGTTCGCCCATCCCCTTTCCCGCCGTCTATGCGCTGATTATGTAGCTTGTGCGCAGCAATATTGCAAAGAAGCGGGCATGTCCTTTTCAAAAACAGTACAAACTACCGCCGCGGTTCCTCAAAAACACAGCAACATGCGAAGAGAAACTGAAGATACGTTACATCAAGCAGATATGCTCGTTTTCCAAAATCGCTCGTCACATTACTTTGAAATCTTTACTTACCGATTGAGCCCAATGATGTGAGCAAGCGGGTGGAAATGTCGTGACATGGCCTAAGGCCGAACACCTCGGGAGCGTTCGGCCGGCAAATGATCTCGGAATGATCTGGAACATCGGAAAAAATCGGAGGGGTGTCTGGTACTGTCAGCACAGAAAAAGACAGATAATCTGTTTTCGTTGTGCGTAGCCCTGACTGTTGGCTGTGCGTGGTGCATGGGTGACGAATCTGGGAGATAATTTTCGGACCAGACGAGCGCAAACAGATAAGCTCCGTGAATGATTATAAGAGAGATAATTTTTCGCTGAATAAGTTTTCCTTGGCCCAATGGGCCTGTCAAAAACGTGAATGGATGATTTCACAGATCAAAGCAGACAACTCAGTCCTCGGAATCTCCTCCTCTGATCAAAGTAGAAACTTAACCATTTGATGCACCATGCATGACTCCCTCCTGCAGATGGCAATCTGTTGACCTTAGATCGGATCAAAAGTCACCAAATTTACCACATTCGAAAATTCTTGCTTGCGGCAACTCAGATCTTAGAATCTGCCTCCCCGAAAACTTCACCTTCACGATTTGACGTGTCACCCGTGACTCTCTTGCAGTTGAGAAGTTGGTGGTCAAGTTCGAAGCATCAAATTGTACAACTTCCAAAATTATTGCTTGCAGTCAACTTAGATTTCAAAAAAAATATATTTCTGAACGCCACCAAACCTTCATAATTCGACGCGCCATACCTGAATCCCTACTGAAGTTGGTAGCGCAGGCAGGTGGAGGAGGCACAGGGACTACGCCCCCCCCCCCCCTCGTTAGGTTCTCGTTAGGCTTAAGATCAAGAGCCCGAAAGATCAGCCGGAGTTTTCATTTAGGGGCCCCGGTCCGCGGGCCGGATACTCCAATGTCAGCCAGAGTACCATGCGTGCTCATTAGGAGCCCACTGAGTCGATAAGGGCATATCTTTTGGTCTGACACCACCAGTAACGCACAGTCGGCTGCGTGGCGTCATGGGCCTGAGGACCCATTACCCAAGCAGAAACAAACCCGGGGCCAGTGATTTATATTGCTCGGGGCCCCACAGCGCCTAACAGGGGCCCTGTGTTGTTAAGGGGCCCGATTCGGCCAGAGGCTGTGTTTGGGAAGGCCCGAAGAGCCTAGAGGTCCCACCGGGTCCGAAGATCAAGGGTCCGATTGGAGGGCCTAAAGGCTTAAAGAGCTGGCCGAGGTCTTATTTAGGGGTCATGATCATGTGAAGAAGGACCCTCAAATAACAGTCAGAGAGCCCTTTGCGTCGATCGGGGATCCTCTCTGCCGATATGGGTCAATATGTCGGTCAGGTACCACCGTACCACATAGTCGGCTTCGTGTCGGTATGGACCTGAGGACCCATTTCTCAATCAGCTATAAAGCCGGGGCCAGTATTTGCACTGGTCTGTGGTCTGGTATCTGTCAGGGGCCCACAGCGCTTAATAGAGGCCCTGTGTTCACAAGAGCCCCGAGCCGACCAAGGAAAGTAGATGAGACCCGAAGAGGGGCCCGGGCGACCCATGGGTACCGATGATCAAAGGCCCGGTTGGAGGGCATAAGGGCCCGAGGGACCGGCTGCAGGTCACAAAAATGATCGCGGCCCATAGGGACGTGACCTGAAAGATCAGTCAAAGGTCCTCTTGCACTGTTTGAGGAACCCCTGAGGCAATGCAGGTGTCCAAATTGGTCAGAGACCACGAACAGCGAACCGTCGGCTCTACGTCCGTCTGAGCCTTTGAGACCCATTTCCTTAACAGAAACGAGGCTGGGGTCCGCGATTTTCAATGTTCGGGGTCCCTGGCACAATGAGGGGCTCCTGTGTCGGTTGTGGACCACAATGCCGAACAGGAGGATCTGAAGCGCCAGGTGAAACCGAGTCGGAGCGGTGTTTGAGGGGACCCGAGAGGGGCCGAGGTGTCTCTCCAGACCAAAGATCAGTGGTCTAATGGAAAGGAAATAATGGATGGAAAGGCTGACTATATGTCACATTAGGTACCCCCGCCTAAAGGACCATGATCTCTAATGTGAGGAATATGATCTCTTGTACCGATAGGGACCCTTGGGACAGAGCGTTCCTCTATTTCGGCCAGAGATCACGAACAGCCAACAGCCGGCTCCTCATTGGTCTGAGCTCTGAGGCCCATTTCCCAAGCAGCGACGAGGCTGGGCCCGCGATTTACGTAGGGCGGGCTCATGTATCGTTCAGGGCCCACAGTGCCTAACAGGGCACTGTGGGTTATTCTGTGCCAACAAGGGGCTTCGAATCAGTCGGGGGAAGATTTGCTCAACTGGAACGGGGACGGGAGCCCGAATGGCAGAGGGTTTCTTGCATTGGTCGGGGCCCTCTGACAATTAAAGGAAACAAGAGCGTATGAGTGCCGACATTGAGGTCTTAAAAGGGTCCTGTGCCAGTCAGGGCCCCAAGTGCCGAACAGTGGGCCCTCCAACCCTTTTCCAAGAATGGGCCCGTTAACCCCAACTAGAGTCTATGTGTCAATTATTTGACCACTTGCGGTGAGCAGGGATGCTATTGCGTTCATAGCGGTTCATGCGTCGAGCTGGGTTCAACTGCGCGGGTCAGAAGCCCCCCCCCCCGCGTCAGGGAGCGGACCAATGTGATACGATGTACCCTTCTAAGGGCCTCCAGATTGGCCAGGGGATGCCGCCCCGTGTCACCAGAATGACGGCCGGAAAACACACCACGGTGGGACAGAATGGCCCTTCAGCCCTTGACCGGGAACAACAATGTGGCCGTAGTATTGTACTCAATCGGGTTACTTTACCGGAAAGAAATAAGGGGCTCTCATTAGTGATATATGGGCCATATAGTGATATAAACGCACGTCAACTCGGGAGCAAGAATAGTGACCGCTTAGGTCGCAGTCTTTTGAAAACCGAACGGCGTTGGCAACTGCAAGTAATGCCAGGGGGCGGGCGCCAAGCGCGCATTAATGGCCATCGTAAAATAATGTTTTCGGATGTATTTCAAAACCAATTCGTACAGGTCTAGGATTGCAAGGAATGGATCTTTTTTACAGCTTTGAGGCTGTCCTCTGGACAGATTAACAGATACAACAACACGGAAAATAAAGATTTTACCCCTACTCTTCCAGTTCCACCACAAGATTCCAGCACCACTTCGCGTTGCTTGGAAGACCAGTACGTTATTGTCATTAATCTAGAAACTGCACAAGTGGAACATACGCCCGGAAAATCTCTAAATATGCGATGTGGTCTCCAAAGGCGTACAAAGGTACTCTCTTAAGATGTGTTGCCATTTTTGTTCCTCTATTGGCCACGGCTCCGAATTAGCCACGGGTCCAACGCCGCGCTGCCTAGGGAGACCGCAACGCATGACAGCGAGTTTTTTGTTGTTGTTAAGATATGCGAGCGAGCATGCTCCAAGCTACATTGCATAAGTTATGCCACTAATCAATTCTGACTGGATGCTTAAAAACATAATCTGGACAAACATGGCTTGGCCATGTTAATGCAAATTGTTGACCCATTTCTATCCACAGTCTAATTCGCGAGCTCCTTGCTCCCTCTGTACAACCAGATAAAAAATTAGCACAAAATTTTTGAGCTCTATCGGCTTAAAAAGAGTTCACTGGACTTTTATAAAATGGAGAGCGCCGGCGATTTATTTCATGCAGTCATTTAACCCGTGATTTCGTCAGTCTTTTCACGATAGACTTAAGGCAGAATTAATCTCGCCCTAACGTCTGGCTTATATTTCAGTCATAGGCGATAAAAATGTGATACATACATATATATATATATATATATATATATATATATATATATACATGCGTAGTGATTTTTAATAAAGCATGTCTTTAATAACATGTGGGCCATATCCGGTGATTTTTTTTTGGAACGGCGCCTTTTGCTAACAGAGGCCCTTTGTCAACCCTGTGCCCCCCTGCCAAACCTCTGGCTGCGCCCCTGCTTGCAGTTGAGAATTTGATGACCCTAGGCCAGGTCAGGAAGACTAGCAATCAGATCAGAGATGTTGCTGTTGTTTATTGGAACTTACAGGCGCGCCCACTATTGAACGTGCCCTCGTGGCAGTGCGAGAGCACGTTCAAACACTTTGTGGGAATATTCAGACGGTGAGACAGGCAAGGTGTTGGGAGCCCTATCGGCCTGGCGCGTCGGCGACTGGACACTCCGCGCCTACACCTCGGAAAAATGTAAGCCCGGGGGAAGAATTGCCGACCTCTCGGTGATTCTGAGATTCCCGGCCTTTTTTCTCTTTTGATATATTTAAGAATATGCGTTCTGTATGTCCTTTTGAGATTACGTGCTCGCACATTAACGTTGGTTTGCTATGTGTCGCGGCGCACATTAACTCTGGTTTGTTATGTGTCGTGCCGCACATTAACTCTGGTTTGCTATGTGTCGCGGCGCACGTTAACTCTGGTTTGTTATGTGTCATGCCGCACATTAACTCTGGTTTGCTGTGCCGTGCCGCACACTAACTGGTTTGTTATGTGTCGTGTGCTCTTCTCGGCTTGCATCGTATTGCGGTAATCAGCACGTCTAATATATAAATCTGTCGCTAATGTGTGTTGTTTGTGGCGTGCCGACCCTGCCTGCTGTTTCTCTATGTGTTTCAATGAGCAGTCTGTAGAAAAATAGCAGATCAATGACCAATGTGCGGCCTGAATTTTGTGCCAGAAGATATGACGCGCCACAGTCAGGTCTACATTATACGTCAAATTATTTGTATTGCATAGCTCAAATACTGCGTTCAGCTTGGGACG